TCTTATGAATGAAAGAACAAGTGTTGAAAGAGCTTTCTTCCATATGAGGCCTTTTAAGTAATATCTCGAGTTTGAGTCTTATGAATGAAAGAACAGGTGTTGAGAGAGCTTTCCTCCATATGAGGCTTGATCTAGTTTGATTCTGAATTAGTCAGTATCCAATGTGGTTTTTGGATACCAGAAATTAGTACAAAAAAAAAAAAAGGATCAAAAGAATTGAGTGACTAAAATGAGTTCAAATTGCTAAATTAAAGGACTAATTCTTAGTTTAACCATAACAAAGGCAAAAGGAATTAACAACGGTGGGGCTGCCGCATACCGTTCGGCCTCAATCGGTCTAAAAGATCGTCGGCCTCCAAATAATTAGTTTGCAATAAACTTTTTAAAACCAAACAATGCAAGTTTTCCAACCATAATAAAAGTAACCAAATAATAATTTGAAACATAATGACAACTTTCTCTTTCCATTCCTACTTGATCCAGTTATCACTGAAAAATTGAATATAGACATCAATAGCTACTAAAAAGGAGAATTTTTTTTTTTCTTTTTGGGCCACCTAAGAGAAACGAGATTACATATATATTAATACTGGATTTTTTTAAAAAATTTTGGCCACCACAGGATTGAGAAAGTCATTAACACCTAGACATTTTCCAGTTAGTCATCTCCGCAGAATCACGTAAATCATAACCATGATATTCAGACATGGGTAACCCAAGTAGGACTCCGAAGTACCTATCAAACGCTCGTCTAATGGTTCCAATCACTTGAACTTTCAAGAACCTGAAAACCCCAAAGCAGCGTACCTCGCTTTCTTCTTCGCCAACTTCTTTATGAAGTGGTACTTCATCCCAGTAAACCCTGACTCCATTGCGAAACACAGGCTCCTTAACCTTAACATATCGTGTCTTCAAGAAACCAGGATATTGCGGACATGGAGATCTTGGACCGGGCATGGAGGTTAGGTCCTTGAGGGACTCCAACCTTGGGCGCTCGATGCTAATGCAAACCATAATTTATGGGCAGAGGAAAAATAACAGTTGAATGATATTGATTCAAGAAATCTTCAGTTTATGTTGGGGCTTTTGATTTATGAATTGAATGAATGTATATGGTTTTTCTTTGGCATTGTGATTTTAATAAGTATTTGAATGTTCTCAAATCTTCAGAATTATAATGGATGTCTCCTGTATGATTTCTAATTCCTAAGGTGCGCTGTAAAACAATCAAAGACGATATAGCATTATCCGTGGTTGTAATTAAAGTTAATTAGGATTAGTAATCCTTTTACCATCCAAAATAAAACATCTGTTTTTTTTTTTCTTTTACCGAAAAGAAAAATAATAATAAAAAATAGTAATACTTTATTGTAATTTTTGTTCGATTCAAGAGAAATAAAAAAACATTGAAACTATAGAAAACTTTCTCTCTTATCGCTTTCTTTGGCTTAATTAAAATGTAAATAAAAAATATAAAAATATATATATATAAAAAAAAGAGAGCGAAATAAGAAAAAATCAGTCCCCTCCCATTCCTAATAAACTCCTTACACATTCCAAATAAATCTTCATTGAGAATGTTTACATGTTTTTTATTTTAATTTAATTAACTTGATTTTTTTTTTTTGACAAAAGTAATGGCTAAAAATTAAAAGTTAAGTTAGTACCTTATTCATGATAAAGTTTGATCACTTGGTCAGAAGTACAATTCATCGATAGTTCCGTTGAACTGCAATGGCTACCAATAAACTACAACAGGAAATACATTTAATTAACTTAATTGATATACCTGAATGACGAAAAATGAAATTAGAATAAGCACCTAATCTAACAGGTTGCTTGTACCAACTCTTATACACCATTCAGTATAAAGAATGCCTCCAAACCTCATGAGCCGGGTTCAGAGCCATCCCCCGTGCGCCTAAAAATTTTACTTGTTCACAAAAAATAAAATAATAAAATAAATAAAATAAAAAATCTGACATTTGGTTGACCCGTACCGGTTCGGGTGAATATTTAAGGATGATAAACGGGTAGCTCCATTGCCTATTTTCGGAAAAAGATAAACGGGCAGCAAAACCTAGTTTGTTTAATTTTGTATTTTATAGTATGTTTGGTAAAATTTGTATGAATTTTTATTTTTATTTTTTTTATTATTTATAAATAATAAATTTAAATTTTTATTAAAAATGTAAAAATTACTTTTAAAAATAAAAAACAAAAATTATAACTTTTTAAAAAAAATTAAAATTTATGATATATAAATATATATATAAAAAAAAGAAGACCAAAAAAAAGAAGAAGGAGAAGTTGAATCTCTTACCAATTTTATCGAACATGCCCTTCGTGCCAAAAACAAAACCCTTGCCAAAGCTAAAACCTCGACTTATTGAGGCTGTACTGTTTGCTGCATCTCCCCTGCTCTGTTCGGCAATTGAGCCACCATAGGCTCCTTCCATGGCGTTAATCAAATCTAAGCTACGCTTACCATTAACCCTTCCGTCTTCGTCCCAACGTTTGTTGAGATTTTACTGCATTGCGACTTCAAATTCGCTCGAAGAAGAAGCTGATATCACCGGTGAAGCCAAAACCGCCGAACAACCCTCCTCGCTGTCGCCTGAAGAAACCTTAATCGCCGGAAGATTCCACTCCTTAATCAAGGACCACCACCGCAAAAACCCTACTCTTGACCCAAACCCGGTACCGCCAGGTCCCAACTTCACCATCCCCTCTCTCTCCCTCGACTTCACCCAAAGGGCCACAAACCATCCCATCTCCCCTTATTTAGTGCGTCGCGTTATTGAGAAATGCGGCGGCGTCCGTCATGGCATCCCTTTCCTCCAAACCTTAGCTTTCTTCAACTGGGCAACGACCCGACCCGACTTCGCCGACTCCCCCGAGCCGTACAATGAGATGATCGATCTTGTTGGAAAGGTAAGGCATTTTGATTTGGCTTGGAGTTTGATAGGCATGATGAAAGCTAGAAACGTGGAAGTATCGGTTGAGACATTCGCGATTCTCATCAGGCGTTACGTTAGAGCTGGATTGACGGCGGAGGCGGTGCTCGCCTTTAATCGCATGGAGGATTACGGCTGCATCCCCGATAAGGTTGCGTTTTCAATTGTGATTGCTATGCTGTGTAGGAAAAGAAAAGCTGCCGAAGCACAAGCCTTCTTCGATAGCCTGAAGCATAAATTTGAGATAGACGTGGTCCTTTATACTAGCTTGATTCACGGATGGTGCCGCGCCGGAGAGATGACGGAGGCAGAGAGGGTGTTCAAGGAGATGAAGATGGCCGGAATCCAGCCTAATGTTCACAGTTACACTATTGTGATTGATGGGTTGTGTAGGTGTGGGCAAATTACTCGTGCCCACGATGTATTCGCTGAAATGCTCGATGTGGGGTGTCAACCGAATTCAATCACCTTCAATAATCTGATGAGAATTCATGTGAAAGCCGTTAGAACGGAGAAGGTTTTGCAGGTTTATAATCAGATGAAGCAACTCGGTTGTCCCGCTGATACAGTTACCTATAATTTTCTCATAGAATGCCATTGTAGGGATGATGATCTTGAGAAGGCTGTTCAGGTGCTTAACACAATGGTTAAGAAGGGATGTAGCCCGAATTCTTCTACTTTCAATGCGATATTTAGGTGCATTTCAAAGATACGGGATGTGAATGCTGCTCGCAGGATGCATGCTAAGATGAAGGATTTGAAATGTATGCCTAACACGGTGACTTACAATATATTGATGCGAATGTTTGTTGATTCAAAATCGACTGATATGGTGCTGAAGCTGAAGGAGGAAATGGATGAGATGGAGATCGAGCCTAATGTAAATACCTATCGGATTTTGATCACTATGTATTGTGGGATGGGGCATTGGAGCAATGCCTACAAGTTTTTCAAGGAGATGATAGAAGAAAAATGCTTGAAACCAAGTCTGCAAGTTTATGAGATGGTGCTGCGGGAGCTGAGAAAAGCAGGGCAGTTGAAGAAACACGAGGAACTGGTAGAGAAGATGGTTGACAGAGGATTTGTGGAGCGGCCTCTGTAGAAGTAGCCTTTTGCTTTCAGGCACCTGCGATTTCTGTCAGTTCATTCTCCAATGCATTCATTTATTTGAAATTTTGAAGATTAGTAGATTGACATTAGTTGTTAAAAGATTAATAATGTATTTTATCCTTAATTTCTCTTCCAGTGATCATAAAATTCTAAGATTTCATGCTGTCTCACATGACTTTATGTCTAAATTTTATGTTCGTCTCAAGTTGTTCGATAACTTTCTTAATATTTGATATTCTCAGAAAGACAAACCACTCGCATATGCTCAAAACATCATGGATTTCTTGTTTTTACATGATGTACGTTAAAATGAGAATTTTTGTGCCCTTGTGAAGAATTCCAAATCCATCTTACCTGATATCCAAATTCAGAAGGGTTTTGTTAAATCTGCCTATTGTTTGAAAAAAAAACAGCCCGTTTGGACCACCATCAAGATCCAGAGAAAATCTCTAGTTAGTCTGACTGGTGTTTCGGAACAATATTCCTTAGAAGCAATAAAGAATGAACAGGTGGACAAGGAATAAAGTAGAAACCTCAAACATATATTTTATTTGAGCTTTTGAAGGAAGTTTTCCATCGTTTACAACATGATTGCATCAAAGTGCTGGGTTACAGTGTTAAGAAACAATACAACATTAGTAGAGAACAGTCATCTAAAGATGAAGGCTGTTCAAATTACCATTGCAATTATCCTTAAAAGAAAGAAATGAAGTTCCTATGGTCTGATTATCAGTGTCCTTGCATATCAAGCATCTCATCCAGACTTTTTAATCTCTCTATGCCATCACTAATCAAGAAACGGATCCTCTGCTTGTCATTACAGTTCCTATTACTCTCCATCTCTCGCCTAATTGTCTGCTTCAATTCATCTATGACATCCCGGCCACAAAATAGAACAAATGCTTGATCTTAGTTCAATTGTTCAAAGAATATGTCATAATTCATATACATAACTAAGAAATCATGTACCATAGTAGCAATTGTAGTTGGTGAATGAGATAAGAAAGTAATCCTAATAAAAATGGAAAGGCAGTACAAAAAGAATGCAAATGCCATGACAATGCAGTAAGCTTCGAGCAGAAAAATGGAACTCTGAAATTTCTAAACAACATTTCTTAGGGCTAAATCGCTTCAATGAGGCTTGTGATCAACTTCTTTCAACTTTTTCTTAGAAGCAAGTGATTCTAAAATCAAGTTTCACATAATTTGACCAAAGAAAAAGGAATTTAACATAACAATTAAAGAACAAGAAAATAAAAACAAAAACATTTTCGTGGAAAAAAGAAAAAAAAAAAAAAAGTGCCGAAACTTCAGTCAAGTGCGAGGGATTCACCTCTTGAATGATCAGGAGCTCTTCGTGCAATCCTTAGTGCTTGCCTGTAGAGCTTCAGAACTCGAGCACGGAGCAGAAAATCCTGCAAGTCAAGGGAGAGAGCCATAACTGATTCTCTTCCTTCCCTACATACTTCCATGTCAAAATATGTATGAGCATATGCAGCAAAGACTGAAATCAAATCTCATATACGCATTTCGTCAAACAATTTCAATGCACAAATCAATGAACTCTTATTTTGAATTCAACCACAATGTCATTATTAGTCCGATATGCAGAAAATCTCGCAGAATTCAAAACTACAGAATGAAATTGTTAAAGAACTTTGATGATTGATGAATCAGGGATTTAAATAATGGATTCCGTTAAGAAAATTGAATAATTCACAATGTAAACCGAGAATTTGAGCTCACCTAGATGCGAAGAGATGGATCAAGATAAAGCGAAATCGCTAGAAGAGTGAAAGCTAAGTTTCGCCGAAGCACGACGGGGCTCAGTCTCTGAGAAGCATCAAATCAACGGCAAATTTCAGGCAGAGTAAAGCAGCGGTGACCTTCCATGCGAAAACGGCGTCGAGGAGGTTAGATCTACAAATCCATGGACTCAATGGGCTGTGGGCCCATTCTGAAGTAAAACGTTGGCCCTTCTAAATTTAGGCCCCACTATGGCAATCATAGCAAAATTTTTGGGGCCCATATCATTAGTACTTTATGAAAAATTATAAAATACTGTATAAAAAATTTAATAATAAGTTTTGTAATAAAATTTTGATAGAATTTTGTTGAATTATTA